TTGTTTTCGAGTGAATCGATTTACCTTTTTGTTTTTCAAGTTGCTGGAGTGGAAGGGTGGTTCTCTTTTCTTAGTCATTCCTCAGGTCCATGGGGACCTGAGGCTATCCATCCATTCTAGAACTACACCCAGAGAGCTCCTCCTTCTCCGTTAATGAAGGTAAGCTGGTTTGTCCTGCCCCAGAGCAGATCTAGCTATGTTATACCCTCGCATCTGCCTGATTTAGGACAGCACTAAAACTCAAACTCAAAGCCATGCCTTAAACTGGGCAGCTCCTAGATCAAAAGCAGACTGACCCCAAGAAGTACAGAGAGGCACAGATAAGCAGCCCCACCCAAGACCTGGAGCAGTGGCCCATCCCCAACACACATGCACAAAAGCATGAATGCAACACTCAAAGCATCTCTCCTCTGCTTCCCTGGACTGTCATGAAGACCTCAGGGCAATCAGAATCATATCAACACTCTGAAGGACAGAGAGGAGGCCTGGACTAAAAACCTATGATGATTCTATGGCCACATGTTAACAAAAGTCCTCCCTGTACCCAGCCAGGAAGCCACTCAGCAGACACACACAAGGGACAGCTCTGCTGCCATGGGCTCATCCCACATCCTTACACCCACATACAAATAGACAATGCCCCCTCCCCCAAACCAACTGTTCATTAGCCAGATTTTGTGCAATGAAGTGTGATGCTACAATGCAACTGACATTTGTTTTATTAAGGGGTTTAAAGAAGTTAAACTAACTTTCCTCTATGGATGGCATGCATAAGAGACATTTCTTTCATCCAAGCAGAAAAGCGAAAAACTCTCAATAATTATTCACCATTAAATATGGAAACATTAATGAGCTCTACTCATGTAAGAGAACATGCTAAATAAACATTAAAACATGCTTTAAGAACCGGCTCGTGATAGGCAGTGAAGTCACACCCTCCAATTAATCATTTCAGCTTCACTGGGGCGTTTGAATGTCACAAGCTCTTTGTCAACAGAAAGTGTTATGGTCATTAAATCTGCACGGAGAGAATGTCAGAGTGTCTACTGTAAAGTCCATTTGTCCCCCGGCCAGCTCGCCCTCCTGGCTGTTAACGTTCTAGGGAACTTAGTGAGTGATACGATTCTACAGGTGCCACACTGAGTGTGCGTTCTGTCTTCACGGGCGCGTCTGTTTGCGCGGGACAGCTGCTCTCACTCAGCGCTGTAGGGGCTCCTGTTTTTCATACCCACTCGGACTTTTTGGACCTCAGATGAGGAGCACTGCCAGAGCTGACCAGCCGGCCGGAGAGCTGCAGCTGGCTACAGGAGTAGGGTCCCGCCAGCCTGCTCTGGGGGACAGAGTCTTTGCCCCCTGGGTCCCGGGCGGCCTCCCCGCGGGGCTCTTTGCAAGCCAGGGACAGCTTGTCGCTGGCCAAGGACATCACCTCATGCTGGTCTTCATCCGGAAGCCCCGTGTGCCCTGAAGCACCGGCCTCACCCTTGGCATCAGCCCCTGGGGTCCATGTGCCAGGGCTAGGGGGTGGCCCCTGTGGCTCCCACCCGCCCTCCCGGCTCCCGGCACCGTGGCTGGGAGGCGGCATCGCGGCTTCACACTCCTCCCTGACCCAGGGGCCTCGGCCCTTGAGCATTCTGCCCCGCATGCTGCACCCCAGGTCGACGACGCCGAGCAGCAGGGACAGCGCGCTGACTGCCCACATGAAGAGCATCATAATGGACTTTTCCGTGGGCCGAGACACGTAACAGTCCACCACACTGCTGCAGGGGGCGCGGGTGCATGAGAACCGCTTAGGGACCAAGAATCCGAAGAGGAGGTAGTGCAAGGCCCCGAAGGCCGCCTCCACCAGCGTCCGAAGGCTGAGCTGGACCAGGTAGGCAGAGGAGAAGTCCGGCACACGCGGGCGGTAGCGCTCCCCGCAGGGCGGCTCACCGCGCCTCTCCCCAGGGCCTGGGCCACAGCGGCCCGCGCTGCCTGGCACTGCCTGTGACCTGCAGAGTCCCCGGGCGGCCAGCACAGCTCCCTGGTGGATGACATGGACGCTGAAAATGGCGTTTGGGAGCAGCACAGACACGCTCTGGATTACCCAGAACCGCAGGTGGGACACAGGGGCGAAGACGTCGTAGCAAACGTTGGCGCATCCCGGCTGCAGGGTGTTGCAGACGAATCTCTCCTGCTCGTCCTGGTAGATGGGGTACCCGGCCAGGACGATCACCGCCACCCTCAACAGCACAGTGAGGATAAGCCAGACCTTTCCTGCGAGAGAAGCGGCAGGAACGGCCTGGTCACCACGGTGTCAACATCCTTGCCCCCAACAAGAGTTTGTTTTTTATTTATTTATTCATTTATTGAGACAGAGTCTCACTATGTCACCCTCAGTTGAGTCCTGTGGCATCATAGCTCACAGCAACCTCAAACTCTTGGGCTCAAGCGATTCTCTTGCCTCAGCCTCCCAAATAATTGGGACTTTAGGCACCTGCCACAATGCCCAGCTGTTTTTTTTTGTTGCAGTTGTCTTTGTGGTTTAGCTAGCTTGGGCTGGGTTGGAACCTGCCACCCTCAGTGCACGTGGTCGGCGCCATAACCACTGTGCTATGGGCACTGCCCAAAGGAGATTGGACAGCTGAGAAGTCAATAAGCACGTTTCCGTCACAGCCAGAGTATGGGCCAGTTTAGGCATTTGACAAATATTTGTTGAACACTGAACCTACTTGTTTATAAGCAAGTTGCTTAGAGAAGAGCGATTTTTCAAAAGCTTTCTGTACTGAAATTATTTTCAGCTGACAGCCCTAGTTCAGACTTTTGGTAATGTCTCCTGGACTGAGGGGTCTCTAAGGTTAGTTTAGCTGAGCAGATTAATGATTTAAATAAGATCTTCCTTCTTAGGAGAATAAGCTTTTTAAAGGATTTTAGCATGTTGGTAACTGTCTTTAGCAAGTTGTAACTGTCTAGGCAATTCGAGCTATTAATTTCAGTTAGTCTTTTTTATTTATGATTATGGCATACCAAAATCTCTATTTAATCACTGGGCTTTTATTTAATGCTGCCCTATGGTCCTTGAAATTGAATTCCTTTAAGAACATTCCATTTTTCTGATGTTTTAATAGTTCAGAATTCCTTTCCCCCTATTTCAATCACCATGAATTAATGAAGCTTCTCTTTCTTTAATTTATCACGAACATGTGAGACTCATCTAAGAAACCAAAATAACTTCGAAACCCTATGTTCATGACTTGGGCCACTCATTTTGGAACACACTTAAAACACAGTCATGATAACTTGTAAATAGTGTATTTTCTGATGAGATGGAGAAAACATAATTGGACATTGGAAAATCAAAATGCTATTATAAGTAGAGGTTGTCAAACTCAAATAATAACACCACTATGTGATAAAATCATTGACTTGAACATTTAATATCAAGTTGATTTTTTGGGCCGAGTGCAGTGGCTCACTCCTGTAATCTTAGCACTCTGGGAGGTCAAGGCAGACGGATTACTTGAGCTCTGGAGTTTGAGACCAGCCTGAGCAAGAGCCAGACCCTGCCTCTATTAAAAAGAGAAAAATTAGCTGGGCGTTGTGGTAGGTGCCTATAGTCCCAGCTACTCGGGAAGCTGAGGCAAGAGGAGCACTTGAACCCAGGAGTTTGAGGTTGCTGTGAGCTGTGACAGCGCAGCGCTCTACAGGGTGACAGAGTGAGACATGGTTCACTTTCAAAAAAAAAGTTGAAATTGTTTAAATTCTACAAAATAAACAATGAGTAAGAAAAGCATCACCACATTTCAGATATATATTAGTCCTTTCCTCAATCTTTTTTTCTGTGACATCCATACCTCTCTGACAATTAGACTCATCTGCCTCAAACAGAAATCTTTATTATTTTCTTTGCTAAAAATATGACGAGAGATTTGGTTTCAAAGTGCAGAGAGAAATTATCAACCTTTACAAATGAAGCTTCAAGGATAAAAATCTCAAAAGATGAAGGAGAAGAAAACCCAACCCAGGCATTACTTTCTGCCTAGCTTTCATCTTTTTATAGTTTTTTTAAAATAATGAATGAAAATGTGTTTATTATTAACTGACTGGGTCTAATTATTGGTTGTTACTTCTTTCCAATGATCTCTTTCCATGTTTCATTTTTTGTTTCAGATTAATATAAAGCAGCGGTTCTCAACCTGTGGGTCGCGACCCCTTTGTAAGAATGAAAATGCATCGCGGCATTAGGAAGGTTGAGAACCGCTGAAAGGTACACATGAAGTAGCTTTTAATGTTTCGCTCTTTTTTTTCTGGTTAATGTGGACACAAAAAGGTTGCACAAAAACACCCCGCTTTCACCTGCTTCAGCCTTCCGACTCAGCACCCCCACGTCAGCGAGGGGAGACTCTGTCAGAGAACAGGGATCACACCCAAGACTTTTTTCCAGGATGGAGCCACCCTGGGGCAGGGAGAGGTACCTTGATGCCACCTCTCCCTGCCCCTCCAGCAAGACACAGGCCTTTCTTTGGGGAATGAGCCAGGCAAACTGAAAATGAGGAAATACCTCCATGCTTTAAAAAAGGATTGGATTTGAACATGGCAATGAAAACAAAAGCCGGACAGGAGCTTGGAGGCTGTCCTGCTACTCACCCACAATGGTCACGTTGCAATTTAAGGTGACGAGGAGGAACCCCAGAAAATCCAGGCTTTCCATGCTTCCAGAACGTTTGAGGCTGCCGGAGATGTGGGAGGCCTGTGTTCTCCAAGGCAGTGGAAGATCCTTGAAGGAACAAATGTATCTTAACTACAAAAGACTTAACAGTGAGAAGTCAGGGAGACAAAAACAAAGGCTTGCGCCCAGGGGTAGGAGGTGAGTTTTTCTGTCTCTAAGTTGAGAGGGCCCTAAGCCGTCTGCCTCTGAGGCCAAGCATTCCTGACAACTGCAGTGACCAGAACAGCAGGAGTCATGTCTTATTGGGGGCTATTCTTACCCTCTCGGGATATTCCAGGCCCGTGGCGGTGCTCATATGTCTCTGCTGGGACAGCCAGACGCTCCGGGATATAATAGAAGCAACTACTTTTAACCCAAGAGAAAAAAACTTGTGTTCACCAGTCAAGTAAATTTCTCCACTAAAAAGTCACTTCCTTCTTGAAAACATTCCCACCACCACTTCTGACTCGTGCAAGAAGCCCCGAAGTGTTCCTGTTTTGTCTTCTGTAAGGAGCATAACTCACCATCCCACGATCCCACTAACCCACCAGGCTCTAGGTCCTTCTGAATTCCTACAGCGCTGGGGCAAACGGAAACCCATCCTGTACCCCTTTGCGTGTCCCAACTTTAGACTGTCCCTGGGTTATTATCCAGCTGCTTCTTGTGTGGGTTAGTGGCAGGAGGCAAAACAGCCGGGTGCAAAGCGCAGGGAAGCCCCTTACTCACTGGGGAAGTCACTAGGTCTCTCCAGGTTAGAGACCTTGCAGTAAGAAGGATCCTGCCTTTCTTCTGGGCGTTTATGGGATGCTTACGTGACATGATGGCAGCAAGTAAGAGCCCGTAGTGTGTAGGAGATGTGCAAAGCTCACATGGCTGGGGTTTCAGTCCCTAACCGGCCCGGACAGCCTTCATAGGTTCCATCTTCCTTTTAAATCTCCCAGTCCTATCTAGCCGGGGTCTGCCTCTCATTGAATCTACTTAATAAAATGTCTTGTTAAATTTGTAATAAAATATCCCCGTCTGGACCTGCTGACATCAATCACAGCTGCATCAAAATCCTGTAGTGACGGTCACCTTTACATCTGGGAAGAACCCATCCTGTAAGGTTGGGGATCTATCATCAGGGTGGAAATTGTGAACTTTCAAAGGAATGATTTCAATTTTCCATGAAAGCTCTTCTTTATATCCCTATCTTGTCTTCATTTCTGATCTATTCTTGACTTTAGTAATATCCCTGGAAAGATTCCCAGAAGAGGAGCCCCACAAAGCCCCTTTCATCTTTACTCCAATGACACACTCCCATCCACGGAAAACATTTTGACCCCCTTGAAAGGAGCCGTCGTCTTGCTACTTTTTAGCCAAATGCTTCAACGTGAGCGAGCGATGAAATTCGGGAAACTGTCGTTCAGTAAAAACATTGATATGGTCACAGGGTACGAGTATAAAATAAAGGACGATCTCTTTGTGTCCTAATAGACTGTTCATGATATTGGCTTAAAAAAAAAAAAAAATGGAGATACCAGGAGAGCAACACCGAATTGTGCTGGGGGATAGAAATGGCCTATCTCAAATGTGGATTACATCAGAACTGCGTGACCGCGAACTAATCCCTAGAGTTTTTCAGGCCTGGGTGTTCGTATCCTTAGAGGAAACATGCACCCTTCACCTGCTCAGAGGGGTTGTGATTTGCAAAACCAGACTAGAGACGTGAAAATGGTTTAAAGATATAAAGAATGACTGAAGGTCAGTGACAGGTACACCTCGGGGTCTGCTCTGAAGGGTGCCCACCCCGTGTCGTTCCCGTGTCTTTCTCTTGCTCCAGGACATTCCCTGAACAGCCAGCGCGGCCTCCCTTCCTCTTCACTCTGATCACATTTGCTTTTCGCCCCTACGTCTACCCGGTCCTCCTTCCTGGGCTTTTTCCTCTTTCTGCTTTTTTCTTTTTTTCTCTCTCTCTCTCTTTCCTGCGAGGAGACATTTTTGCCTTACTTGGAAATCCTAACCCCAATGGCTATCAGAAGTCCAGAGGAGGGCAGGAGAAGAGGAAGAGGAAGAAGTGGCCGCAGCGTCACCAGCTGCCTGTCTCCCTGTCAGAGTGGCCCAGTGTCACTGGGGAGGTTTCCACGTGCTCATCTGTGGCACCCACTGTAAAAGAAACCAGTGGAAACCAGGGGCATGGGTATGGCTGAATTGTTTGAGAAACTGGGATTAATTTGCAGAATATAAGCCATTAGCTACATGCTGTTCAGCCTCAGCCTCGCCTCTCTCTGGTTTGGCAACATTGCCATATTAGTCAGGCCTCAGTTTTGCCATCTATAAATTGGGGAGAATGATATTTCCCTTACAGAGTAGAGAATTACAGTTCACTTACATAAGGTTCTGGCACGGTATTTGGCCCATCAGAGGCTCTCAAAACATGATAACTTCAGTCAGTTCTTATTTGTGATAGTTTATGGGCTATAAAGTTCCTGCAAACACTGAATTAGTGAATACCAGGGGCTCCTTGGGGAAACACAGGGATCGGTGACAACTTTTTGTCCTCCTGTTAATACATAACTTTGTCTTATGTGTGTTTCTGTTTCAAAGCCACCTTATTATACTTAAGAAATATATTTCATATGTATTTAATAGAGCCTAACTCATTAGCGTATGGCATTCAGGCCTGAATGAAGCTCATCTAACGCGGGTCCTGTCTCTGCAGGGTTGCACAGCCTTTCTGCACCAGGGACACCGGGGTGTGCCTCAGCACTGCACTGAGGATCCTTTGAAATGGCAAAATCACTGACCAAAAGCACAGACATGCAACAACCATGGCAGGAAATAGACCGTGTTCTCACTGGAAGGCAGAGCCTGGCCTTCGCTGGGCAGGTGGTGTCGGGTGCCACAAATTCCCCACTGCTCTGCATGTGTCAGCAAATGACTGCAAAACAAAACGATGGGATTGTTGACTTCAGGGTTACAAATAAATTTTGGCAAGCAGGGGAATTTGCAAACACAAAATTTGTGAATAATAAGCATCAAGGGTTTTTTTTTTTTCTTTTTGAGACAGGGTCTTGCTCTGTCTATTCCAGGCTGGAGTACAGTGGCATGATCATAGCTCACTGCCATTTGCAACTCCTGGGCTCAAGTAATCCTCCCGCCTCAGCTTCCCAAGTACCTGGGACTACAGTGCGAGCCACCATCCCTCAGTATTTTTTATATAGAGATGGGATCTTGCTATATTGCCCAGGCTGGTCTTGAACTCCTGGGCTCACGTGACCTCCTGCCTTAGTTTCCCAAGTAGCTGGGATTATAGACATGTACCACCACACCCAGCTAATTTAAAAAATAAACATCTGTAGAGACAAGATCTCTCTATGTGGCCCAGGCTGATTTCAAACGCCAGAAATCAAGTGATCCTCCCACCTTGACCTCACAAAGTGTTAGGATAACAGGCGTGAGCCACCACACCTGGCCTGACTGCCTTTAATAATAGGGACCTGCTGACCTGCTGAAGAGCAGCTGAGTTCACGGAAGGGCCTATTCAGAAGTGAAATGTGTCCCTAGGAACTCCAGGGACTCAAGGGCCACAAAATGTAGAGGAAGGGCCTCAGATCCTCCTCCTTCCTCTCCTACTTTGGTCACACACCTCCACTGCTATCTGTGTTAATACCCCTTGAATAAAGAAATTTGTATCTAAAAAGAAATGTTAGAGAATATCTTCAGGCTGTGGTGACAAATGCCTATAATCCTAGTGTTCTGGGAGGCTGAGGCAGGAGGATTGCCTGAGCTCAATACTTGGAGATCAGCCTGAGCAGAGTGAGGACCCATGGCTCGACGCCTGTGGCTCAAGCAGCTAAGGCGCCAGCCACATACACCTAAGCTGGCAGGTTTGAATCCAGCCCAGGCCCGCCAAACAACAATGATGACTGCAACCAAAAAATAGCTGGGTGTTGTGGCGGGTGCCTGTAGTCCTAGCTACTTGGGAGGCTGAGGCAGGAGACTCGCTTGAGGCCAGGAGTTGGAGGTTGCTGTGAGCTGTGATGCCACAGCACTCTACCCAGTGGGACAGCTTGAGGCTCTGTCTCAAAAAAAAAAAAGAAAAAGAAAACATCTGCTCTCTATAAAAATTATTACAAGAGGCAGCCAAATAATATCAAGGTTAAGGATGTAAAATCTGGATTCTAACAGCCTGGATTAAAATTCTAGCTTTGTGGCTTGAAAGACCTTGGGAGAGTTACTTAGCTCGGTTTCCTCACTGTAAAAATCACAGTGCCTGACCCTAGAATCATTGTAAGGATTAAATGAGAAGATGCCCACGATATATATATTAGAGTCCAGCCAATTCTGCATGCCCAATAATTGGGTTTTCACTCATATTTTCTGCCAAGAATAAGGGTCCAGGGGGCTAAAAGGATGCCGGCCCCAGGGCTCTCATCTGTCAGCCCAGAAAGCTGGCCAGGGAAAGGCTCCCCTCCTCGGGAAATAGGCTGGGAGATGATGGCGTTTGTTTTTTGTTTTTTGTTTGGGGGGGGTTCTGTGCATGTGTGTGCATTTAAGGAAAAGCTTAATTGTCTAATTTGAGAAATGAATGTTTAACTTGTCATCAGGATTTAAGCGACTTTTTCGGGACTGTAGAGAGGAAACAAGTGTTCAACATCTGCACCAACAGGACAGATTTATCTTGCTACAGCTGCATCTCATGTGCATATGTAAATCTACCCACAAAGGAGGTTCCAATCCATTACTTTCCTGCCAGTCGAGTTTGTTGTGGGCACAGGACCTCCAGCATAAGGCAGCTGTCGGGGCCAGTCCACTCCGGTGACACCCACAGACTCCCGCCCACAGATGAATCTCTAAAAATTAGCAACTAGACAAACTTTTCTTCAGCGGAGCCTTTTCCTGCTCCTAAGGTCCCCAGACTGTCATCGTTGGTCTACATTTTCACAGTTTTTGCATTCTTTCTTTTTTTTGGCCGGGGCTGGGTTTGAACCCCCCACCTCCGGCATATGGGGCTGGAGTCC